GGAAGTAGGGTTTTGCTTATGGCTGTAAATACTATATTGAAGGAAGCAGCACTTTCTTTCTTCAATGCAGCTATTGAAAGCCAGAGCTGACTTGAGACATTTTGGTGCCTAATGACTGTGTATGTGTCTTTATGTTGCCTGTTGACTTGTGATAATCCCATGAATTTTATAGAATTTTGTTAGGAATACTCAGAGGTGTTGTTTCTGATTCCTTCCTCTAAAATATAGCCAAGAGAACCTGGTATTTGTTGGCAGTTACCAGCTCAAGTACTAACCAAGGCTGACCCTGCTTAGCTTCCAAGATCAAATGGAATCTGGCACCTTTTGGGTATTTTGGCCTTTGCTTGCCTGATGCAGAAAAGCAAATGGTAGCATTCCCATGTGGGCCAGATTAAGACAGACCTGGGGCCCTAAACAAGGTCAAGTTTAAGAAGCCCCCATAATATCAGAAAAATGTCCAATTTTCATTGGTAGTTGCAGCTGAGAAAAAAAACACAAGTTATGTCCTGTAAGCTCTAAGCAGAAGCCTTCTCGGATAAGTTGCTTAGCTTGTGCATAAATTCAGCATTGCTGCTACACTTACAGAAATCATGTTTTGTGGTGCCTAAAGGCAACTACCATATACGTATACTCGTGTATAAGTCAATCTCTGGAGGGAAGGATATTAGAGGCAAAGATGAAGTACTTTGGCCACATAATGGGAAGACAGGAAAGCTTGGAGAAGATAATAATGCAGGGAAAATAGAAGGAAAAAGGACGAAGAGACAACCAAGGGCAAGATGGATGGATGGCATCCTTAAAGTGACTGGCTTGACTTTGAAGGAGCTGGGGGTGGCCACGGCCAACAGGGAGCTGGTCCATGAGGTCACGAAGAGTCGGAAACAACTGAATGAATAAACAACAATAAGTCAACCTTGCGTATAAGGCAAGTTTCATGGCCAAAATTCTGGATTTTGTTATGACTCATGGATAAGTTGAGGGTCATTTTGCACAGATGGGAATGCCACGTCAAGAATCCAGCCACCACTGGCTGTTGCTGCCATTTTCGGACCCGAGCATATAAAGCAGTCAGAAGCAGCATGAAAATGGAGAGAGGAGAGAGGCTGGTGCACCTTTTAGGATCTCCCAAAATGAATTAAACTCAGAATGTTTTGACAGACATTGAAGTACAATACTTACACTGACCATGGAGAAGTTGACCCAGGTTATTTCTGAGGGCCCTTTCTCGCAGCCCTATTTCCAAGAATATTAAGGCAGAAAATCCCACAATATCTGCTTTGAACTGGGTTATCTGAGTTCATGCTCAGATAATGTGGGATTTTCTGCCTTGATATTCTGGGATATAGGGCTGTATGGAAGGACCCATATAATGGCAAATAATTCCTGGACATAAGAAAGCAAGCCCCAGTAGTGCTTCTTATGGTGGGAAAGGAAAACACAACATATTCATATTTATTGATAGATTTTAAGATGTTTTCCAACTTAATCTGCAGCAAGAAGCAGGTAATGAAAGCATATAATTGATATTAACCATACGTTGCCCTTTCCTGTTGTTCCCAACCTGCAGCTTCAGGCAGCCAGTTCTTCCTCTGCTAAGGGCCCTCCCAGACAGGACCTGTATCCCAGGATCTGATCCCAGGTTTTCTGTTTATTCCAGATTATCTGGCAGTGTGGTTTCATACAATCCAGAAAACCTGGGATCAGATCCTGGGCTACAGGGCCTATCTGGAAGGGCCCTAAGTGAGCATCCCTCGAAGGCGTGGTCCGGGGGCCACAAGTGCAGGACTCTGGGTGCATTTAGGAATGAGCTCGGCTTAACTGCCTTGGCTCAATGCTATGGGATTATAGGAGTTGGGGTTTGGTGAGGCACCACCTGGTGCCTGGGGATATGACTGAGTAAGTGGCATCAAAGGACATTATGTTGGTAGTGTAGCTGCAGTTTTGGCTCAAATGTATGGAGTCACTGAAGTTGCAATTTGACAGCATCTTTGCCCTCTTTTTGCAGCCCCTGGTGGTGCAATGGGTTAAACCACTGAGCTGCTGAACTTGCTGACCGAAAGATTGGCAGTTTGAATCCGAGGAGCGGGTTGAGCTCCCGCTGTTAGCCCCAGCTTCTGCCCACCTAGCAGTTCGAAAACATGCAAATGTGAGTAGACCAATAGGTACCGCTCCGCCGGGAAGGTATCTGCTGAGCTGCTGAACCACCCCCCCCCGAAATGTTTCAGATTAAAAAAAAACTGGTTTACTTATGAATTTTAACTGGTTAACCAAATCCCCATGCTAAGTCTATGAGATGCAAAAAATTAAGAGTCCCTCCAGAACTGCAAGCACTATCTCAAGCAAATATTGACAATTTATTCACACTGTCATTACTTGCAGCAATAGCCGATGTAGTTGTTCTGGTACAGCTGTACCAGGAGCTCCAACTTTATTTGCTTTGTATTAAATGTTTGCTTGCAGTCCTAGGTTTCAGGGACTCTGCAGATAGGTGGCTTCTTTGGTTGCAGTCATAGGGCAAGTCACCTGTCCATCATCGTTAAGTTTTGGTCCCGCCCCTTGCTCAGGGCAATTGGGAAGGGGAGCCATTTTTTAGTTAGTCTCAGCAAGGAAAGCTAATGTATAGGACGTGTGCAAGCTTCCCCTGTACAAAAGCTTCAACCCTTAAGACCTTCCGGGGGAGAAAGGTCTTAAGAGTCTCCAAAGAATTTCCAGGAAAACAGCCCTAAAGACCAAAGAACTCCATCTGGAGAACATCTACTGCCTTGCTGGTAGGTCCACTCGGCGTTCGAGACGCAGTTCGACCCGGTAGCAGAGCCCACATCAGTAAGGGTTAGATTACAGTCAGCCTGGGAGAAGTTAAAAAGGGGATTTTCCTTTAAAGAAGAAGTTATTGAAGACAGTTGCCTGTCCTTCATGGGCAAGATTAGGAATTCACCAGTTGCCTAAAAGCTTGGAATCATTTGCTTAACTTTACTGAAGACAAGAGAAGTTTCTGTTTGATTGTTCATTAATAAAAGACTTTGTTGTACTTCTCAAGCCATCTAAAGACTGTTTGTGGTGGAAACCTCTGAGAACTCTTTAGGCCCCCTGGCTTCCCGCTGGGCAAAGGTTGCACATCCTGTTCTAAAGACAATTATTTACAGGCCCATCGCGCGGCAGAACAGTAGTGAAGCAACCAAGTTGGGGGGGGGGGGGGATATTGAATGCTCTCATTAGGAGGCATGTAGCCGGGGGGGGGGCTTGGAGGGCTTCAGCCCCCCGAAATTCTCATGGTGGTTCGCGAAAAGGCCTTACTGGTGCATTATTTAAACTGTTATGTTTATTAATATCATTATTTGATCACCATTCTCAATATATCCCATATGTATGGGGGTATTGGGGTAATGATACAAAAGGTTTGCTAGGCTAGACCCTCTTTCACTCAGACTCAGCCCCCCCCTGAAACTCAGCCCCCCCCGAAACCCCCCCTGAAAATTTTTTAGCCCCCCCCCCGAAACAAAATCCTGGCTACGGGCCTGCTCTCATTAAGGAGGCCAGACTTGGTGGAGGTGGTTGACAGGGGCAGAGCTGCAGACTATTGAAGGCTGCTCTGCCCCATGCTGTGCTCTTTGCTTCAGCGTGAGCTAGGAGGCAGGTTTCAACACCCCCCGTGAAATTTTCAAACCCCCCCCACCCCCAAAATTTCAACCCCTCCCAAAAAAAAATTCTGGCTACGGCCCTGATAACTTCCATGATTCCATATTGGTATCGTTCTGGCGGGAAGGTAAAGGCGCTCCAGGCAATCATAATGCTGGCCACATGACCTTGGAGGTGTCTACGGACAATGCCGGCTCTTTGGCGTAGAAATCGAGATGAGCACTGTAGAGAGTCGGACGCGACTAAACTTAATGTCAAAGGGAAACCTTTACATTTACCCTCTTTGCCAAAGAGAGCTGGCCCCTCACCAGCAGCACCCCGTGGCCTTGAGCCAGGGGAAGTAAAAGTGGCGCCAAACCGCGTGCATGGCACAGTGCAGATGCCCCTTCCTGGTCGCCCCTCTCCCCAAAAAGGTCAGCTGTAGTTGGGTGTAGCACCAGGTTTCTATTTCGACGCCTTTCGGGAGCAAGGCAAGACCGACAGCAGGAGGGAGAGGAGCGGACAGAGTCCACACAACCCTCTGTTGCGCGGGAAGTGTCTCTAAACGCTTGCGGAGGGGAGAGCACTAAAGGCTTGCCCTTCCTTCCTTCCTTCCTTCCTTCCTTCCTTCTTCCTTCCTTCCTTCCTTCCTTCCTTCCTTCCTTTCCTTTCCTTTCCCTTCTTTCTCTTCCTTCCTCTCTCTCTTCCTCCCTCCCTCCTCTTCTTTTCTCCTTTCCTTCTCCCTTCTCTCCTTCCTTCTCTTCCTTCCTTCTCCCTTCTCTTCCTTCCTTTCCTTCCATCTCTCCTTCCTCCCTCCCTTCCCTCCTCCTTTTCTCCTTCCTTCTCTTTCCTTCCTTCCTTCTCCCTTCTCTCCTCCTTCCTTCCTTCCTTCTTCTTCCTTCCTCCTTTCCTTCCTTCCTTCTCTCTTCTTCTCTTCCTTCTCTTCCTTCTCTCTCCTTCCTTTCCTTCCTTCTCTCCTTCCTTCCTTCTCTTCCTTCCTTCCTTTCTCTTCCTTCCTTCCTTCCTTCCTTCCTTCCTTCCTTCCTTCTCTTCTTTCCTTCTCCTTCCTTCCTTCTATCCTTCCTTCCTTTCTCCTTCCTTCCTTCTCTCCTTCCTTCCTTCCTTCTCTCTCCCCCCCTCCCTCCCTCCCTTCCTGACAGAGGTGGGCAGCCTGAGCAGGAGCCACGCCACTGCCTGCTCCTGGTGACTCTTCCTCCTCCTCTTTTTCTCCCTGCCTTTGAGGAAGAGAGGAGCGGGACAGGGACTGCTCAGCTGAGGCGGCGAAGGGGGCTGGAGAGGCTGGGGCGACACCTCCAGGCGGGCTCTCTCTCCTCTTTGCCCTTCGCCGCTCCTCGGCGGGACAGAGCCTTCTTCCTTCCAGGCCAGGTGAGAAGGAGGAGGAGGAGGAGAAGGAGAAAGTGCCGCGGCGGCAAAGGAGGCGGCGGCGGATGGGCCGGGGAGCCGGGAGGCAGGGGCTCCATGGGGCAGGTTTCGCCCCCTTCGCCCCCCGGGCCCCGGCAACCGCGGGCAATGCGGGCGGCCGCGTAAGAAAGCACCATGGTGCCCGGGCTTCTGCCTCTGCGATGGTAAGTAAGGCGCAGGGCTGCCCTGCCAGAGCCTCTTTTGGGTGTGTGTTTGGAGTAGGTTGGGAACATCAGCCTCTAACGGTGATTCCCAAACTCTCGTCCTCCGGGGCTTTGGGACTTCACCTCCCAGAAGCCTCAACTGCCTGACTGGAGATTCTGGGGGCTCAAGTCCAAAGCACCGGGGAGGCTAGAGTTTGGGGGGCCCTGCTCTGTGAGAGCAACCTGCAGGTGTCTAGACTAGGCATGGGCAAACTTCGGCCCTCCGGGTGTTTTGGACTTCAACTCCCACAATTCCTAACAGCCGGTAGTACTGTTAGGAATTGTGGGAGTTGAAGTCCAAAACACCTAGAGGGCCGAAGTTTGCCCATGCCTAGTCTAGAGACACTGTCCTATTTGATAATAGCGGTACCTAGGCTAAATCTTCATAAAGTTTACAATAGGAGAGCCAGCGTGCTATAGGTCAGGCATGGGCAAACTTCAGCCCTCCAAGTGTTTTGGACTGCAACTCCACAATTCCTAATAGCTGATGGGAGTTGAAGTCCAAAAAACCTGGAGGGCTGAAGTTTGCCCATGCCTGATATAGCTGTCTGCCACATCGGACTCCATATCCTAGGATTCCACACAATTGAGCCTTGGAGGTTAACATGGTACCCAACTGCATTGATTGTACAGTGTAGCTTCATCCTAGGACTCAGGGTTGGAATCCTCACTTATTAGCCACTGCGTGATTTTCCACAAGTCACACTCTCTCAGCCACAGGTCACAGCAATGGCAGAACTCTTTTAGAATCCTAGAATCCTAGAGTTGGAAGAGACTTTGTGGGCCTACCAGTTCAACCCCCTGCCAAGAAGCTGGAAAATCACACTCAAAGCACCCCCAATGATGGCCATCCAGCCTCTGTTTATAAACTTCCAAAGAAGGAGTCTTGTGAACAAATCTTGTCAAGAAAACCCTGTGATAGGTTCACTTTAAGTCGGAAACGACTTGAAAACAGGCGAAAACAATAAAGGGCTCCTTTTAAGTTCTAGGGTGTATTTTGTGCCTTGTCTGCAGCCAGGACAGATTTCCTTGTTCAAACCAACTTTCCACTCTGGGCATGTTAAACGCCCATTACTTCTGGTTGTTCTTCATAGCCTTCCTACAAGCAACGGGCCTGCCAGTAATGTTTTAATATCTATTTGGAAGGAGAAAAATACAATAATAGGGCAGAAAACAGTAATAATAGTAGAAATATAATACAAAGTATGGGAGCATGAGGTTGGTCAGGAAGAGAGCAATGCCACTGGTAAAACTTTCCTGCCATGGAAACGCAGCTGTTAAGTAACTCTTGCTAGAGTGGCACTTGTGTGGGTGTGTTTTGGAGATCTGTAAAGAGGAACCCAAGAAAACTTTGAACTTTGTTTTGTTCTGGCTTTATTTCCCCCTGTGATTTCTTACCAGACCATGGGAACGTCCCATTTTGGCAAGGGATGTGATCTAAGAGGCATTGCCTGGCATGTATTAAGGAAGCTCTTTCTAGGAAAAGCATGCTCCTCTTAATAATTTTGCTCTTGTTAGCTAGTGAAGAGGGGCAGAGCAAGGGCAAGATATATGTATATTATCCTTGAAGGGGTTTTTTTTGTCGTGTCAGGAGTGACTTGAGAAACTGCAAGTCGCTTCTGGTGTGAGAGAATTGGCCGTCTGCAAGTATGTTGCCCAGGGGACGCCAGGATTTTTTTAATGTTTTACCATCCTTGTGGGAGGCTTCTCTCATGTCCCCACATGAGGAGCTGGAGCTGATAGAGGGAGCTCGTCTGCGCTCTCCCTGGATTCGAACCTGCGACCTGTCGGTCTTCAGTCCTGCCAGCACAGGGGTTTAACCCACTGTGCCACCGGGGGCTCCATTCTTGAAGTGGCTGGCTTGACTTTGAAGAAGCTGGGGGCTGGCCATGGCTGGCCGACAGGGAGCTCTGACGTGGGCTGGTCCACGAAGAGTTGGAAGCAACTGAATGAATAAACAGCAACAAGCTAATGGATCATTGGATTAAAAAGGAGAGGAAAAGCATGCAAGCAAGTGTGATTCTGACACAACTGTATGCGTATGTGTGTGTCTTCGAGTTGCCTGTTGTCATATGGCAACCCTGGGAATTCCATAGGGTTTTCTTAGCCAAGGCATACTCAGAGGTGGGTTTGCTGATGCTCATTTTCAAAGCAAAGGATTGTACATGAAGAGCAGAGAGAGGAGTTTCCTGTCCCATAGAGATCCTCACCTCAAAACTGAGGAAGAGAATGATTGGGTTTCCGAGAAGGAAATAGGGAGGACATGATGAAAAATGGAACTTCTTAGAGAGGCAGGTGCTGGTGCCTGGATCTAAAAATAAAGAGGCAAAAGAAGTCAGAAGCCAGAGACTCTAAACTAGGTGAGTTCATCATGGGTAACTTCGGGTGCAAGCTACCAATTCTCGTCTTGTTGTCTTTTGTGGATTTTATGTTCAGAGGGGATAGAATCGCAGGACATGATATAAAGAAACTGCTTTTGTGGCTGTGTCTTGAATTAAACTGCGGCAGAGTGAATAATTCTTAATGCTGACAGTTCTGTCTTCTTTTCAGCACTAAAAAGTGTTTGAGAGAGAAAGAGAGAGCACATCAGAGGAGACTGAAGAAACAGTAAAAGTGTTCAGAAATAATGCATTTATTGAATTTAAAATTCAGCATAGACACCAGCTTCATTGACCTCTTCTTTGAAACAGTTATTGCAATAGCTGTTACTTGTCAGATACAGGGATTTTTGCCGTGCCAGAAGCGACTTGAGAAACTGCAAGTTGCTTCTGGTGTGAGAGACTTGGCTGTCTGCCAGGGCATTGCCCAGGGAAGGCCCAGATATTTTACCATCCTGTGGGAGCTTTCTCTCATGAGGAGCTGGAGCTGACAGACAGGAGCTCACCCCATCTCACGGATTCAAACTGCTGATATTCAAGACAGCAGTTCAGCCAGCACAAGGGTTCAACCCATTGTGCCAACACAGCTATAGTAATGTATTAAAACACATTGACTAGTACTAAGTAAATATCATTTGGTTAAAAAGGGTTATATGCCATGTTGTTACCACAGGATTTGACAACAATTCCTTAACTCTTTTATGTCAAAAGTATGGGGATATGACAACTATGCTGTGCTAAAGCCTGGCCCATAGAAGGGAACTTAGGGGGAAACTGTGTGTGAACCCATGGTCTGGAATGCTGAAAGAGTAGGGACTTCTTGATGGATGGTAGTTTCTGAAAAGTGAAATACTGAAAGCATAATATCAAGTAATTCCAATGAAAGGGAAAATATGAGATGTTAAAAGCAACCAGAATGGATGGCTAAAAAAAAAATCAACTGAGCTAAGATTTGAAAGGGACATGTACAAGAAATGGAAAAAAGGAGCAAAACCACTAAAGAGGAATTCAAAGAAATAGCTGACATGCATAGGAAGAAAGTCAGAAAAGCCAAAGTGCAGAATAAGCTCAGGCTTGCTAGAGAGAGTGAAAACATTAAAAAGGTTTTTTTGTTATGTCCATAGCAAAAGGAAGAATAATGAATGAGACTATTTCTATCCTAACATATCTCCCCAGTGGGAACGCAGGGCGGCTTACATATAGAGAGGCAAACATTCAGTGCAAAAATATAATACAAAATAACACAAACCAAAAGATAAAACCCAATGTACATTTCAACAAGCAACAAAGACAATCATACAATTGAACACAGACCAACAAATTCACATTAAAACCATTTCATATTTAATAGATTTTTAAAATTTAGAGTTTTAAAAGATTAAATTAAAAGCATTTAAAAGAATAAGGAAATAACAAGGCCACTGCAAAGAGCTGATAGCAAACTGCTAACAGAGAAAAGGCAGGGCTAGTCTTCCAAAAAGAAAACAGTGCTCATTCTGGGGAAATGGTACAAATGATGCAATAGGGGAAATGCTGGACATAATAGGTATCAGGCTACTCCAAATACATTCAAGATACTCAGTTCAAATTAATTATATGCAAAGATATTAAAAGAACGGGTAGAAGTAATTTTAGAACCACTGGTAACAAACTCTGGGAATTTCTGAACAGAAGTCCCAGTAATCTGGAGGAGGGCAGATGTTCCCTTCTTCATAAAGACAAAAAAGAGGACTCCTGCACAGTCAGCCTGACAAATACCAGGGAAGATTCCAGTCCAGATCATTAAACAGACAATCTGTAAGCACTTAGAATGGCATGAACACTAACATGGGTTTCCCATAAACAAGTCGTGCCAGATCCACCTTACTTCTTTCTTTAACAGAGCTATAAGCATGGTAGATGAAGAGAATGCTATGGATGCAGTGCATTTTGATTTTTGTAAAGTCGTTGACAAGGTTCTCCATGAGATTATCTCAAACAAGGTAGTAAAATGTGAGTTAGGCAATGTACTGTTGGGGAATTGAGAGTTGGTTAAGTGTCCAAACCCAAAGGGTTCTTACCAATGGATCTTCTTTATCTTGGAGAGAAGTGACTACAGGGGTGCCAAAGAGTTCTGTCCTGCACCCTGTGCTATTCAGCATCTTTATATTGATAAAGATTTGGATGATGAAACAGAAGGCGTGTTTATCAAATTTGCAGATGACATCAAATTGAGAGAGATAGCTAATAGCATAGAGGACAGGATCAGAATCCAAAATTACATGGGCCAAACATAACAAAATGAATTTTAATGAAAAAAAGTAAGGTGCTATACTTAGACAGGAAATAATTAAATGCACAGATACAGGATGTGTGACACCTAGTTTGACAACTGTAAAGGTGAAAGAGATGTAGGAGCCTTAGGCCCCATCTACATTCACATTTAATATGGTGTAGGGGGTACATTACCACGAGTGTCCAGATAATGCCACATAATAATAAGGATTAACCTGGAAAAATACTTGGACCTCCATGTTTAATCCATCTTAAAGAAACCCCTCCAAATATTCGGACCTTTCAGTAAGGTCTGGTTCTTTGGAGGTG